TTATAATATGCTCTTCTTTCTAGTATAAAAATTAAAGGTTCAAAAATCTAGCAGAAAATATTTTTCCAAGAGATATTTACGTCTTCAAAAAGAAACTAGTATTTCACTAAGTTAGTAGTTCACTAACTTTAACAAAGGAAACCAACATCTATTACTATGAAAAACACAGTTCATCCCCTATTTCTTAACTAGGATATATATAAATATTCTGAGGTAAGAAATACATTAACATGCAAAACCCATCTGTTCACTAAGGCCCCCATTAAAGTCACAGACCCTACCTTACTTCAGAAAGTACCTTCCCAGACATACCTACTGCAATTTCCATATCTGCAGATCGTCTGTCATGTGAGCGAGAGACAGGCAGCACTTATACTATGTTCCACAGACAAAAGAACAAAACAACAAGGAAATTTCTATTATAGTGTGATTTAAATTTACAAAGAGAAACAGCTGCACAACCACCAGCAAAGGAGGGGTGCTACAGGGTACTGTGAGGAGCACAAGTGCCAGGGAGACGAAATGACTGTGACTCCACCACATTGCTATGCATAGTGAGAAAAAGCAGAGGAAGTGGCTCGTGAAGAGAACGGGTGAGAGCACGGAACAACAAAGAGATTGTCATGTGCACAGCACACCCTTCAATGCCTGAGCCCACAAGAGTCAGGTCCACCTGGTTTCCCAAGAAAGAGCTCCAGTACCTACACACGAGGCAATTTTTGGAATGCATCTGGCCCTTACATAAATATATTTGATTCTTATCAGTTCAGTAAGTGATTTTGATGACACATGACAACTGACAATATAAGTATATTGCACTACAAACTCCTTACCCAATTTTGAAGTACTTGCTTTGAAGAAATTGATATAAATTCTATCCCTTACATATCACTAAAATGCTACGCTAAGGATACTGCAATTCAGCTGATGTGTCTTTTACTGCTTCTCATCTGACTTGGAACCACAGCTTTCAAATCAGTCTATTTCCAGAGCAACAACAGGCACCCATATACCATTAGTATTACGCAAGGAGTGACGCATGTTTTCAGAGCAGATCATCACAATTGTCTTGGAAACTGAAACGGTTCAATCATCTTTTATCAGATTGTCCAAACGAGTCTGAAAAGCATTCATTTCACACATTACCAAAACAAGCCTGCTTGAAAAGACTGTCAAACCAGATACAAACCTTGCAGTGGGGTACCACAACCTGACAGTAGAGGATCACTCTTCATGTCATTCTTAGGGGCAGAGAAAAGAACAGTCACTTCAAGGGGAAAAAATTATTTCCAGAAATTTATCTAAGTACTATATACATAGAAGTAAAAGATGGAAGGAGAGAAAAAGGAAAAGAAAACCTGCGAGTGAAAGAAATAGTAAAATACTTCTTTTTTTTTTTCAATTTCCCTTGAAAAAAATTAGGCGAGGCTGCAAAAATCAAAAAGCATCAATCAGTGTCTTCAAATGTAAAAATTACATTTTCACAAATTGAAGATCAGACAATTAGGGAGTTTGGTTTGAGCTGGAAGGGACCTTTAAGATCATCTACTTCTAACCACCCTGCTATAGATAGGGACACACCTCCCTCTAGATCAAGTTGCTCAAAGCCCCATCGAGTCTGGCCTTGAATGCTTTCAGGGAGGGGGAATTCAAAACTTCATTGGGCAACTTGTTCCAGTGTCTCACCTCACTACCTCACAGTAAAGAATTTCTTCCTAATAATTAGTCTAAATCTAGTTTTTAAATTTAAACCCAGTTTAAAACCATTTCCCCTTGTCCTGTTGCTACATGCCCTTATAAAAAGTTCCTCCTCAGCTTTCCTGTAGGCCCCCTTCAGGTAGTAGAAGGCCGCTATAAGGTCTCCCCAGAGCCTTCTCTTCTCCAGGCTCAAGAGCCCCAACTCTCTCCGCTTGTCTTCTTCATAGGGGAGCCGCTCCAGCCTTCTCATCATTTTTGTGGCCCTCCTCTGGAGTTCTTCTTGTGCTGGTGGCCCCACAGCTGGACATAACTCTCCAGATATGGTCTCACAAGAGCACAGTAGAGAAGCAGAATCAGCTCCGTCAACCTCCTGGTCACACTTCCCTTGATGAAACGTAGTCATCACCATTAACTATGCATTTTAGTTGGCGATTAACAAGAACCTACATGCTTTGCTTGTAAAAATCTCATTAGTGGAGTCTTTTATTTCTCCAATCCTGACATTATCTAATCACTGACACTTCAAAGAATTCTGCGTTGCTGCTACCATTTCTGGCATAATATTTTGCTGGTTAGAGTAAAATTACATTAATCAAATACAGTGCATTATTTAAAGTCACTGAACAGCTTCTGTTTAAGTCCAAATGTCATTAGTCAAATACTACACAATTCACACTAATGGTATTTTTTCCTCACTCAGGCATCACAGTCTCTTGTGTCCTGAAAATTTTGCATATAGTTCCTCTAAGGTTTGCACAGTTGTTTTTAATTATTTGCAACTTTTTATTATCTGATTTTCATTAATATGTACTTTTTGTGTCTTGGATTATACGTTGCTTCCTTACATAGTTTCAGAAAGCATTTTGACATACTCTGACATACTCTGTCCACAGTCCTAAAACTCAGCAATATTTGCTCATTGCTAGAGAGCTGACCACTGCTCAATCTGTGTGATATTCAATTTTGGGACAGGTAAGTTATAACCACTGAGGTACATATGCAAAAGTAAGCATAAAAATCTAAGCATGAAGGTTATTAGGTCATTTTCAGTAAGATAATTACAAACGCAAGTAATTACAATTCATCTGTGCAGATAACATGGACACTGCACTACTGTAAAGGAAATTCGATGTGTGTCAGGAGCTTCTTCTTCCTTAATGTCTACAGTGGAGAAAAACAGACGGCACTTGGATATTTAGACAATCTCTAAATCTTCAGTTGTAAACAGGTATGGGGACAAAGATCTGCATGCATAAAGTGACAAGATAAAAATAAATGGGACACTGCTGCTTCACAGCACTTCATATCTCCATAAAGCAATATACTTCGTCCACCCTACAGTCCTACAGTTACACTGAATGTTTAGAGACAGTTTACTGAACTCCTATTAGAACATGTAAAACTCTTCCAGAAAGATGTTTGTTTCATTTCTAATATATTTGTAAGAAATGTGGGTTTAAACATGACAATACTGTTAACTAAGCACAACTTTTTTTTTTTTTTTTTTTTTTTTTTTTTTTAAATGAAAGAACTCCAGAGCTACAAGTTAAATTTTTAGAAGTGCAAATTGGAGCAGAGGCTACAGCACGTTACTTAGATATCTGAGCATATTATATACGTCTAATAACTTAAATAACTTAAAGGATATCACTAGTCAGGTTGTAAAGAATAAAATAATAAGTAAAAAACAAAGTATATTAACATGCTTGCTAATACCACAAGCCAAAGGGGAAAAGGAGATGTTATCGTAAAAGTCTCAAGTACTTGTTAAACACATAAAGGACCTTCCTTTAAATTCATAAGGGATTATGAAATGCTGAAACTGCTGATAGTGGAGAAAAAAAGGCAATAAAATAACAGTGCAAGCTTACCTTTTAATGGAAATGAGGCAAAAACGTACTATATTGTTTGAATTAACCACAGAAGTTTGTATTTCAGCATAGCTACTCTGCAGCCTGTTGCCTTCCCAATCTTTTCATAATTAGAAAGCCGCATAACAAAAACATTCAATCAAATAGATGCTAAGAGTATTTCAGACATTACTTCACATATAGGTGACAGACAACGTACTACGTTAAATTTTGAAACACATGTAGACTAGGAAGAAATGGTTCTATCATCAGACTGAGAGGCCACAATAAGTTACTGACTTAGGCCATAGACCTGTACTAAGACTAGACGTACATGAGGAAAAGAGACTTTATACCTCCTGTTAAAGACACTGTATAACTAATAACAGATGTGGCAGTGCAAACATTTCAATCTGACCCAAAGGTTTCAGGTCTAATATCTAATTCACTGAATTTTTGACGGTGTGGGTTTGTTTTGTTTTGTTTTTCCGTGTCCAGCTTTACATTCATCAGGATCTCCAGGACTTTCTCCGCAGGGCAGCTCTCAAGAAGTTCTCCTCCCAGTTTGTATGCATACCTGAGATTGCCCTGAACCAAGCTCAACACCTTGCACTTGGCCTTGTTAAACCTCACCAGGTTCTTGTGTGCCTGCTTCTCAAGCCTGTACAGGTCCCTCTGGATGGCATCCCTTCCTTCTGTTGTATCAACTGCGCCACACAAGGTGAGCTTAATCCTACTATCCAGGTCATTGATAAATAAATTGAAAAGGACCAGACCCTAGACAGACTCTTGGTAGACATCACTCATGACCGGCCTCCACCTGGACACAGAACCATTGACCACAACCCTCTAGTTCTAACCATGCCAAATCTCTCCACTTTAGAAACAAGAATGTTGTATGGGACCATGTAAAAAATTGTTAGGGAACAACCAACCTGTCTGATATGTTTTGGGTATGATTTTTGTCTAACGTAAGATACCACATTATACTCAATTTCTTAGAATTTTCATGGAAGATCACTACCATATTTTTGAGGATGTCATCATACCTTATAACACAGTAGTAAAAAAAAGGCACTGAAAAATATTGAAGTATCTCAAATGAGAAGACCATTTAGGAACTAAGATCTTTCTAAAAAGCAACTGAAAACTGAGATGAATGAGAGGATTATTTAAACAAAGGCAATCACTCTGCTAAGCCTATTAAAAAGTAAATTTTTCACAAGATAAACGAGCACTCTTTTTGTATACTTCATTATCAAAACCTTGGATAAAAAGGTAGACTAGTGAGAAAAAGAAGCAGCCTAGTCACAGGTCAATTTCTGTTTACGGAAACACTTAAGCGTAACCCCTAGTGAAACAGAAATGAGGTGCATAAATGCATCCACAAAAATGAAAATACCCTTTGTTCACATTGCATTCATAAATGATCATGTTATTTGAATAACTCACTGTTTAGACGCTTCAGGTTTTGGCATCTGTTCTTTCTTCCTTGTATCCGCTGTTGGGGTAAGTACTACAGCAGCACATGAGACTATCGACTGGTACGAGTCTTCTCGACAAACTGCAAAGATAAAAATCCCAGTGTTGAAGTGATCTCAGGGTGTATTTTAAATGCTGAAAGAAAAAAAGTATACATGTATGTGTATACATAAATATATACATGTAATAAGTCATGCTGTGATGGCCCAAAACAGAAATGATTTTCCAGACTTTGCTGTAGTCATCTGTGAAGGAAACATTACTGTTTCTATATTTCTTAAAGTGGCACTTCTATTTCCCATAGACTGGTATATCCACTCTCATTTTCTAAGTTTCACCTGGCACAACATATGATGTCAATTTGCAATATCTCTTCGATCCACGTGAGTCCTTAAAAGGACATGTATTTCCAATTCAAAATTAACATACGATGCACTTCTTTCTTCATCACAGATTAAAAATGAGAATAGAAATTAAGGAGAATTATAATCTATTTAAAAGAAATTCTGACAAGTAGTTTTTTGTCTTACATCTCATACTTTGAGCCAAAAAGGCCAAATCCAAGTGGTTTAGGAGTGATATCTGATACTTTTATTCATATTTTCTCTTAATACAAATTATTTACATATTATAGTGCTAGTTGATATGACTCAGATGATATTTACAACTAGAAGAACAACCACATATTTCAATTGAGCATCTGGCTCAATTAGAACTAATAAAAGAACACCCAGAAGTACCTGACCTCCATACAAGCAGCTATTCTTGTTAGAAGTTATACATACTCCAAAATCTCAGGTGTAAATGTCACTAGTAATATATCAGCACAGCAACCACACCCCCCTTACTGCTAGGTGTTTCAAAGATAGAAATTTCCTGTACAGCCAAGATGTACCTTTATGTACCAAGCAGAATTTGGAAGCAAATGCTCATTGCAGCAAATAAACCACACCAGTTTCCTATATTATACATTTATGGTACTATTTTATGTCGTATGTGAACAAGAAGAAATGTGGTGATTCATCTTTTAAACAGATCACATCATAATTTACATGCATAACATACACCACTATGTAGGGTTTACATGTGCGTATACACAGCCAATAACATCAACTGTAACAAGGATGACTGTCACAAGTTCTCAAGGATTAAAAGCCGGGAAAAACCTATTTCACATTTGTACAAGGTAAATGACTGTAAGTAATAGGACAGAAAAGGATTGAGTATTTAAAATAAAAGTCTGAAATGTGTACTTTTGTTTTTTAAAGTAATTCTGAGCCATTTGGTAAGAAGCACGAACATCCTAAAATTGGGCTTCTTTTAAAAGGAAGAAAATCTTTTTTGCAGAGTACATGTAATTATGTCTAATGCATTTTACGTTCTACAGTGTTTATGGCCATTTGTTTAATTTGTTTAATTACTGATGCACACACTGTGCATGGTAGACACATAAGATGACTAGTAGTGAAACATGACCTCCCATATTTTGAAACCAGTGTTACTCAGTACTTGATCATTATCACAAACATCCATCCCCCAAAACATGCTGATACCAAAAGAAAACTTGCCATACTGCTTACAGGTATGTAAGAGGAATATATGTTACAGGTTCCTACACAGAAAAATGAGGAGAGAACTAGTGCAAAATGCATTGAACTAGAGATATTACATAAAAATAAAATAATTTTATCATTTTTGTCCTCCTATCTTGCATTCAACCAGCAGATGATGTATTATCATGTGCCATTTGTTAGGTACAAAGAAAAGCACAAAGTAGTATCTTCTCACTACAACCAATGACTGAATATGTACAAATAAAAGCATTTATATAGATTAGACTCTTTGTTTATAGACAAAGAATTGCAAAAAGTTAGGTTTGTCAGAGGGCGATACTGAAATTCAACGCCTGAATTTTAACCTGATTTTTTTTTAAAAAAAAAAAAAAAAGACACAGCAAATAATTATTTCCTTTTCTTCTTTTTCTTTTTTTTTTTTTTTTTTTTTTGAAAAGTTGTGACACTTGACTATCATGTCATTAATTTACTTGTAAAAGGTCTGCTGACATCACATAGCACGAGAGAGTACGATCACACACAGTCCATCAAAGCAGCTTTACAAAAGGAGATAAAACAGATAATTGCAGGTAACAAAGATGACACTGCTCATCTGCCAGCCTTTATAAAATTTCATGAATGAATTAAAATCTAAAATTGCCTTTGTTTAATAATTAATATTATACACGGATTGTATAATACCCTAATTTACAACTAAAGAAAAACCTGGGTCATCTGGTGATCTGCGTTCGTGGAATTTATTATCCTTCCATTCAAGACAGAGATAAGCTTTGGTACAGCTTTTGCAAGCTGCTGTGATCCCTCCCTTTTATCTCAAGCTTCAGTGCTAACAGTCACAAGTCATTGTGGGATAGTATAATTAACTAAAATGTCACGAATAGTGACAGCATTTAATTTTTATCTACTGGAGTGCATTCCTTTATTATCTGTTCATAACGTTCATTAAAATAATGAGAACGTGCTTGAATGAAGACTCATCTTTAACAATGATAGGGATGGGGCTCTACTCTATTAAGGAAACTATTTTCATACTTCAAACTTCTCTTCAGTCTCGTTTCTTTCATACGCTTTTTTTTTTTTTTTTTTTTTTTTTTTTTTTAAATGTATCAGTGGGCAATGTTACCACCCAAAAAACCAATTACTGACTACTACATTTTGGACTCTTTAATCTGAGTCTTTTAAGATTCCCAAAGTACTACAAACATCATAATCTCAAACCAGTACGCTAAAAGATTACCCCTTTTAACCATAATCCTCTCAAGTGTCCAGCTGGCATTTTAAAAGACAGTAAGAACTTTACAAATTTATCCTTACCACATGAATTTGTGAAGAACATAGAGAAAGCAAATATTTTAATTACTTGAGCTGGTATTTGAAAACCTACCAATCACCAATGTAAACAGCTGGTCCAGTCTACAACACTATTCCTGAAATGACCACACAAGCTCATTCTCTGCCTCTTATCACTACTCCTTATGAACAAAAACAAACAAGATATCACTCACGTGGGAATGGTAAATTCATGTAGCTAGTTACCTTACCTCTTTTACTTCATATTTTCCAATCTTCATTTTTCTGCAACTTTTAGTATTGTTGGAGATGCTTTGACTGATTTCTGCTGAGCATTTTGCCACATAATTATAATCCTATCTTGGGATATTACATGGAAAGTTCACAAAATTCCTCATTACAGTCATTCATCTCACCCTTCCATTTTGTCCTAGCTCCATGCTGTATAAAACCAAGTTGCCTTTTTTTTTTTTTTCCAGTGTGGATAAAACCCATGCCCTTTGCTTGCAGTATGTAGTAAGTGAGGTGAGACATTGTATTATGTGTATATAAAATACCCAGGGCAAAAATACAAGTAAAAGCCTCTACATTTGTAAATCATCCCCAAAATCCTTACTTTGTGTGTATATACACTATAGGACCTCTGTCAACCTTTAGCATTCTCTTCACTTTCTCTTTTCAGTTGCAACAAGATCCCAAAGTGGTAACAAAAATTGCTTTTTGAGACTGAACTACTGCTAGGTTTGTGTATATCATCCTAAAAACAAAGCCCAGCTCTCTTCTCCACACTGTGTTATAGCTTGCTCCACAGATGATGGAGAAAAAAATAAGATGTGCATACCTCCGCCAGGAGGAAACATGAAAATTGAAGTTACTATTTATTTTTAATTAGCAATGGCTTCATCACTTTATTCAGTTTGTAGTGTTGGAAGAACAATTGCTGTTTCTTTTCCAAACAAGCACTACAAGAAAGTAGCAACCTCAGATTTACAGAATAATGGTTAAGGTTGAAGGAGCCTCAAGAGACCACTGTCAAAATGAGAATGATTTTGTACAATTACACAGTAGCTAAATAGTTGTGCAAGTCAAATTAAACTATACTGCAAAACAAATGGGGCAGAAACTTTCTATGGAGCGGGAGCATGAGAACTTCTTGTGTTTCTTCACACTCGCAGCAGCCAGATATTCGTAGGAAAGGTAAACAGGAAAACAACCTATGTACATGTTTAAATCCAAGTCCATCAAGCCCAAACTCTGCTCAAGCAGGGCACCCAAAGTAGGGCACCCAGGACCACACCTAGGCAGCTTCTGAAGATCTGCAAGGAGAGCCCACAGCCTCACAGAAGCACTTATTGGTGTTCAGATAGAACATCCTGTGTTCTAATTTGCACCCACTGCCTCTAGCCTGGCACTGGGCACCACTTAGACGAACCTAGTTCTGTTCTCTTAGCATTCTCCCACCAAGCATACACATGAATAAGTTCTCTCCTTTCTCTTCCATAGGCTAAACAGTCTTACCTTGCTCATAGAAGAAATGCTCCAAATTCATCATCGCAGTAGACACGTGTCAGGCACTGTTCAGGAGCTCCATGCCTCTTTTGTACAAGAGAACCCTGCACTGATCTCAGCATTCCAGGTGAGGACTCACCGAACCTGAGAGGAAGGATTGCTCACCTGGACCTGCTGGTAACACTGTAACTAATGCAGCCCAGTATACCATGGGCCTTCTTTGCCACAAGGGCACAATGCAGGCTCTTGGTTGACTTGTATCCACCAAGACTACAAAGGACTTCTCCAAACAGCTGCCTTCAGCTGACGAGCTGCCAGCATGCACACTAGTGCCTTTGTTTTACTTTCCTTGGGTTGTTCCTCCCCAGATGCAGGACTTAGCAATTTCCATTTTTGAACCCCAAGAGGTTCAACAAGAGCCCATTTCTCCAGGTATGCATGGCAGCACGACCCTCTAGATTACCATCCACTCTCTCTCAGTTCTGTGCCCTCTGCAATGTGTTATGCAGTTAATGTCTTCTGAAAAAGTGGGTAACTCACATGCAAGCAAGATGGTATTTTCGCATGTGATGGTATTTTCCAGTAAACCTGTACCTCCTTGATTCACAATTCAGTGATTGCATAGACTAGCCAATAACTATAGCAAAATAATACAACTGAAAGGACATCTTTACTATGCATTATCATTAACTACTAATATCCTAATGAA